GGAAATTAGGAAGCAAGGTTGTGAATATTAGTGGCAGGATTTCATTTTATTGCTCCTAAGGCATGATTTTGAACGGAAACTAGATATCAGAGAGTTTTTTTTTTTTTTTTTTTTTTAATTTATTTTTTAAACTGGACAAAATGTTGTGCATATTTCAATATAAAAAATATTAAATCATGTTTTAGTTTTATCTATTTCGTGAGAGTGCTAGACATATAAAAAATAATTGTTTCAATTAATTGTCAGATTATTAAATTAAAATATTTAAAATTTCATATAATTGTAATATTTTTCATTTCTTTTCCTTTACTTTTTCATATAAAAAACAGAGAAAAATAAATCAGCCTATATCATTCCCTCTGAATTCCATTAAATCTAAACAATACAAAATTTTATTCAAAAATCAATAAATATTGCTCCTATTTGTTTCTTTCTTAATTCTTTCATCTTAATTTTACTTCCTTTCCAAACGAAGTGTAAGGTCATATACTTCGACATTCTAAATTTGTTAGAACATGAGTTTGACACGCAAACCTTAGAAAAATGATTTGTTAATTGTGGGTACATTTTAAAATTAAAATCACTCGAATTAAGGGTTTAATATATATATGAATTATGCAGAAGTCGAGACGATGGAGTGTTAAAATGAAAGGCAATTGGCAGACGAAAGTGGAGTCCCGAAAACATTCTAGAAACATGGATGATATTAGAGAACAAACATGTTTGATACAAAAGTGGATAAAACAGTTGGGGACATTCTAAAGCGAAGGCAAAGAGAAAAAGGTAAAGGAATTAAAGCTCTATAGATGAGATGAGATATGATATGTTATGTTATAGGGTATATTAATTTGATGAGAATGAGACATATCTGTAAAGCCTGAAAATCTGAATACGAAAGCATTTGAAAACAGAAACACAGAATTTCAATGAGCTAGCTGGGCAGTATCGATTCTTGGTTAGTGGTTACTGGTTACTGTTCTATGTTTCCAGGAAGGCACAACTTGTAAAAAGGAAGAATATATATTTATAAATTAATTGCATGCATGCTATCACATGTCAAAACATAACCTATTAGTTAAAGTCTTGCATTCCTTTACGCGAATCGCATATCATGGCTTTCAACGTTCCTCCATTTGCTGTTGGATATGACGCAATATTATATTTATAGCAAATAATAAAGCAAAGGAGTAGTGTATTATAGTATTATTCTACCTTGTATATGCCATATGTTTTACGAATTATGATATTGCATTGCATGTATATGTATATGGAGTTGGGGAACTTTAGTTCAACCTCTTGCACTTCATTAATATCGATTAAACTGTAAATTATTTTTGCTAAAAAACCTAAATTTGTTAAGAACTGTGATATACCCTGTATTAATTAGAATTTGAGTTTAAATATAGCTCAATTTTAAAAAACTAATTCAAAGAGTTAGAGTTATTATTCATTTATTTATATATATATATATATATATATATATATATATATATATATTATTTTGTGTGATATTTAATAAAGTAATATTATATTTTTTAATAAGTAAAATTTAATATAAAATATTTATAATAACTCACCTATCCTATCTAATTAACTAGCTTGACTTAACCTATTGATGGATAATATTTTATTATGTAGAGTACACCAAAGACATGCATGAATGCATGATTGAAAACAATTTGTATAATACTATGCTTGCTTGAGGTTAAAGAATTGGAGGGAATAAAAGAGAGTATGTAACAATTGATTTGATATGAAACATATAAGAAATAGAGTGGAACAGAGTATAATTTATAGTTATTTGATATAATAGAGTTAGGTGAGAAATAGAGATAAACTGATATTTTAAATTATATTTTTGAAGTTAAATTTTTATGTAAAAATAAATAATATATAAAATTATCATTATCTTTACATTCATTAATGATTGTTGCCATGTTTTTATGCACATAATGCATTATAATTATATCATATTGAAATAAGTAATGATAATCAAATAGAAAAAATAATAATCTAATATGAATAGGAAAAAGGATAATCTAATATGAAGAGTAACCAAATAAACATAATCGAATAACAAAAAAATCAAAGTCATAGCCATATCACAAGCAACAAAAGTAGATATAAAAAAAATAATAAGGGAGTATCAAAAGTAATGTAATCTAATATCATGTATAACAATAAATCATAAGCAAGATGATTGAATATTAACATATATAAGGCGACTATAATCAATTATGGTTTGTTTAACTTGAAATCATAATTGCTTATGATATATATTCAAATATGTATATGATAATCAGTTATGATTCCAAATCAAATGAACTACAACTAATTATACATATTCATATACTCGTATCATATGATATCTTTCATCAACAAATATGTAACCTCATGATACATACATTGCAAATCTATATATTTAATTTAAAGAATGAACAAAGAAAATTCAAAATAACTTCGAATAGATGAAAGTATATCTAAGAATGAAGTTTAAATATATAACAAGAGTCACGGAGAAGAGAAATTATGATATTAAGTTAAAAAAAAAAAGTAATTTTTTAATAAAAATTCACTCAAATATCCTATTTTTTAAGATAGTATGTGAGACTCACCATTTTTTTTTTTAAATTCTATTACTTTTTATCTTATTAAGTGAGGATTTTTTTTAAAGATTTCTTTCAATTCAGCCTCTTTCCTCAAATACACTTTAATTTACCTTTATCAAGAAAAGGTAAAATTTTTTTTGAAGCGATAGAAAGAGGATAAAAATAAAAGTGATAAATAATGCAAATAAATAAAAAAGTATGGTTGAATGAGTTTTTAGGGATGTGAAATTTAGTTTGGTAAAAGTCACATTTCCGTATCCTTGTATCTATCCTGATGTTGGGACTTGAGATGGACAGACAGGCACAGTAAGTGGCAAGCCTAACTTTTCTGTATGTGTAAAATTGAGGAATATAGAATATTTGACAAGAACCAATTTCAACCAAAATTAGATTATTTATTTATTTCACACACATATATGCTCCTTACTTTCTAGTCTACTGAACAGGGTAGGCCTTTCGTGTTTTGAAAGGCCTTAAACATAGGTTAGGTCTCTAAAAAGCAGCTCAAGTTCCAAAAGGTTCTCTATGCTAGCTGCTTTTGTTTTTCATATATGACTTACAAACCCTTTATTCTTTTATTACCAAGTTAATTTTCAAAATTTTACAAGTCATTATAATAAATTGAGACCAATGTATATAATATTTGTGCATCATTTCATATTTTTCTCTGTCGAGGAGTTTTCATTCGTGTAGAATTGACTTTCTAGACAAATCAACGTTAACACAAACACGTTGGAGAACGACAAATAAATTCAAATTTTTTGTGCTTTTCCAATGTCATTTCCAATTGAAATAAACAATTGCTCGTCAAACTGTATCTCTGTTTCAGAATCAGTTTAGAATGAAAATAGTGATTCAACAATAAAGTTCTAAGACGGGTGCAGATTTTCAACCACAGAGACACAGTAACAGTAAATGCGTGTTTGATTTCCCATTTGAAACCCAGAAAATCACTTAATGAAAAGATAGAAAAAGTTGTTTTTTAGTTAGGTTTTTCGAAATGCATGTGTATTTTTACTGTTTAACGAAATTTAATGATAAAACAAGCATATCATAACTAGTGGGAAGATTATTAATATTTTTCATATTATTTAACAGAATGAATATAACACGTTGATTATTTTAATTCATAAAATGAGGAGATAAGACTATATGGAAAATATAATAAGCCAGTTATATTTACCCTTTCTGTTTTTTCAAGATTATATTTAATACTCTTTTGATATCTGATTTTGTGGTGAAACTCTTTAAAAGTCAAAAAGGTATTTTGTTCATTACTCGTTTTTTTGGTATTCTTTTCAAGATTACATTCAATACTCTTTTGTTGCTTGGATCTTTGGTAAAATTTTACAAAAATTGAAAATAATGTTACACTCACATCTTTTATGTTTTTTTTTTTATATTATACCAAATATCTCTTAATTATTTGAATTTATGGTGAGACCTCTTAAAAAGTTGAAAGATTTTATATTCTTTCCCGACCCACATACGTTATCAAGTTTGTTAGTATATTTATATTACGTGACTTGCACGTAATTTTTAATAAATTTTTTCTTCCAAAAATGACACTCACCTTTTCCATTAGAATCATTGGCTTTTTGTAACAAATGCAACTTCATGAAAATTTATGTTTTTGAATTTCTAGACTAAGAAAATTTGGATGAAATTTTAGAATCAATGATCCCATGAGCTTAGTTGGTTGTTAGTAATCTCTACCACATAAAATTAGTTTGATATTATTTAACATGTTTTTAAGTTTTAAGGAATCTCACTTTAAATTCAAATTGTAAAGAGATATTGAGTGTAATATAAAAGAAATAGGAGATGTGAATATAATATTTTTCAACTTAAAAAAAATATCGATGTAGATCCAAATAATAAAAAAATATTGAATGTAATTTCAAAAGAACATAAAAAAGGCAAATATAACATATTTTTAAAAGTGTCATTATAAATTAAAATATCCTTAAATGTAAAACTTGAAAAAACAGAGGAGATAAAATAAAAATATAAACTTTTAGTTTCGTATGAAGAACGCAGTAAAATTAAGTTGATGCAGCGTAGATATTAGTAATCAGTGGTAAACAAGTTGCACGTACAGGTTCCCCCCTTGCCCCTACGAGCTACGTGTCATCTGGAAGTGTGAGAAGAGGAAATTAAGCAAAGAATATTCTGTAATTAGTAATGCCAACTTGCCTGTCTCCCCACAAAACATACCATGAGACACCCAAATGAACATTGGTTGTACAATCATCTCAATGCCAACCCAAAAGGACAACATTGGTTATACAAGTTGCCAATTCCCACATTTCTTTATGTTGAGAATAGAATTGTTTCCTTTTTCTTATTTTCTTTTCTTTTTCATTCGTGTCCCGGCCAAAAATAAAAAAATATAGATAAAAGTGAAAGGATAGTTGAATTGAATGTAAGTAAGTTTGAAACTATATTATAATTATAAAAAAAAACAGAAATATAGAGACAAGTGAAGTCATCCGGCACTGCCACTGCCACTGCCACTGCCACTGCCACTGCGAGGGATAAAATGTGGTGGCACCGACTGAAGAGGAGGGATTTTCAGAAGTAATCAAAGGGCGTTAACCTAGTGTTATCGTTAGCGGGGGTGGTTTTGTGGCGTCTGAGGGAGGGAAGGTCGGGCGGCGTCAGCATGCGTATGAGAGCCAAGTTGAGTCCGGCGAAGAAAGGGTGGTTCTTGACGTCGGCGGCGCCTCGCTTCGAGCCAAGCCTGCGGTTGGGGTCCTTCTGGAGCAAGGCTGAGATGAGGTCCTGCGCGTGCATTTCAAGCGCACCGGAGGGCGTGGCGGTGGGAAAGGCGAGGGGCTTTTTAATGATGTTGCGCAGCGTGGCCTCGTTCGATGGACCCACGAAGGGTGTGCGACCGTACAGCATCTCGTACATGAATATCCCCAAGGACCACCAGTCGACGGCGTTGCCGTGGGAGTTCCCGGAGGCCACCTCCGGCGACACGTACTCGTGCGTCCCCACGAAGGAGCTGGAGCGGGCCCCCACCGGCTCCGCCACGAACAGACGCTTCGGTTGAAGGCTGTGGAGCTTCCGGGAGCGGAAGACGCGGTTGGAGAGGCAGGAGAAGGGGGTGGAGGGTAACGCACGTGGGAAGCACTCAGGGGATTCCACGGCCGGGATTGCATCCGAGCATAGGGAGAGATCGAAATCAGAAAGCATGATGTGACCGTCTGATCTCACTAACACGTTTTCCGGCTTTAGATCTCTGTAGATGATTCCCAGCATGTGGAGATACTCCAACGCCACCAGTACTTCAGCCGCGTAAAACCTGTAACCACAATATTATTAATTATTATTACTGCAAACTGCATACACACTTCTGCTTCTTTCAATTCCCCTCCAAATAACTTCTTTTTAAATTAATCATCCAAAACTTTAATTTCTTAAATTATCAAATTCTTAAAAGTAAAAAATAAAATCTTAATGTTAATATTTTACACATAAAATTAACAAAAAAAAAAATGATTAATTAAAAAGAATAATAATTAAAATTTGAGGCAATTTTAGTAAAAGTAAAAAAAAAAGTTAATTATTTATGATGAAAAGAGAAAAGAATAATTGAAGGTTGAGGTAAGTGCATGGTGATGGGGGAGAAGAAAGAAAATAGTGAGGGACAGGGTGAGGGTGATGGTTACGTTACATAATACATACCTAGCAGATGAGAGAGGGAAGCGGTTGTTAGGGTGGGTGTGTCGAAGGGAGTGCAAGTCCCCACCGCAACAATACTCCATGACAATGCAAGAGAAATGCGATGCCTCGAACTCCGCATAGAGGGTAGGGAGGAAAGGATGGTCCACCATCTTCAGAATCTTTCTCTCCATCTCCGCCCTCTGCGCCTTCTTCTTCAGCGCCACCGCCTCCTTGTCCACCACCTTCATCGCGTACACCAATTCCTCCTCCTCCTCGGACCGCAGCCGGCACAGGTACACCGTCCCGATGTCCCCCGCGCCGATGCGCCGGAGCAGGTGGAAGTCACGGAACGTAAGCGCCGACCTCCGCCTGAAGATGGCGGAGTAGGCGAAGTCGGAGGAGCGGTGGGGCTTGACGAGGAGGCTCTCCGGCGAGGAGGTGGAGGGAGGGAGGTCGAAGGAGAGGCGGCTGAAGCTGAAGCTGAAGCTGGTGCTGCACACGCTTTCGTTGCTGATTGAAGTTCGTTGCGTCTCTGAACTCATCCCCGAGTCCCGACCACTGCTATCCATTAACATCTCATACACATACACTGCTTTCACCCCTTGAAGTGAAACAACCCTGCTTCTGCGCTATTTATCTCACTTAAAGCTTAGTGGGCCTACCTTTTCTTTTTTTCTTTTCTCATTATTGCAATGACAAACCTGGCCCACAGGGATCAACCATGTTTCTCTCTCACCCCCGAGAAATATCGCCTCATATTCAACCCTCCTTTACGCTTTCCTTTCTTTTCAATAATCTTTTTTTAAATTACTATTCTACATATCTAAGTCTTTTCGTCTTTTCTTTTTTCACCTAAAACCTTGTCATTGTGGTAACCTAGGCCCCTACACCCCAGTTATAACCATTCACTATATACCCACATGATAATAAATTGGAACTATACTTCAATAGTTAGTGAGTCAATCCATTTCTACAATTAAAAAATAAAAAAATAAGGTACGGATACCTGATTCTTTTTAAACCTGCTCACACCTTTTCACACGAAACTCTTTAGAGAAAGTATATTTTTTATCATCTTGAAGAAAAACATATATGGACATGAAATATAACTTTTTTCCATGCGCCACAGAACAATTAAAAAGTCTTTGAACCTTCTGGTTTAGAAAGGGTTTTGAATTTGGGGCAGAAAATATGTCATAGATTCGTGAGTGATAATGCATAATGCTAAAACTAAATTATCCTTTCCTCCCGGTTCATCAGGAATGAAAGATGTTCAGCATTTCAATTGAACTTTCGAGGGGTACTTAATTTACACATATTCGCGTTTAAGTGCGTGTCCGCAGCAGCCTTCAAGATGAATGTAATTAAATATAATGTATCAGGTTGACCTGCCTTTTTGTGGTGTTTCTAAGAGTAATATATACAATTTGTTTAGCTTACCCTCAACTGTCTCAATATGTTTTAAGAAGCTTCGAATTAGCAAGTAAGAGAAGTGGACTTGCATGCATGAGATTGCTCAATTCGTCTTGATGCAGCTTTTGCTACCGTCACGCTCAAAAATAGACCTTATGAGATTTTTGTTTTAATAAATCATTTTCAGAAACTATTTTTTATTTTCAACTGAGCTTATCTAAAAAAAGCCTTACATTTTACGTGACATAAAATTCATCCACTAAGTTAACGTTTCATTTATTTATCTGAATTTTATTTGTACTTTTCTTTATTTATCTTATGGATTTTCAAAATCACCCTCCTGCCTACACTCCTTCTTCCTCTCTTTTTCCTTCTTTGAAAATTCTGTCATTAAGATAGATATCTTGTTAGGTTTGATACCTCAATTGATATAAAGAAACATCAATTATATTTTAGGAGACTTGTACGTACGTCATAAAAATAAGTGTGACCACCATCACACATCTCAGGTTGACACCGTGATCTTTGAGTCTATATGACCCCGTGAGGCCAAACCAAGCATGTGCCAAGGAGAGTAAATTTTACCACTAAAATGAATGCAATATTTATGTATAAAACAATTAATATTTCAATACTTTTTGTTTAACTTGGTAGAACCTATAATCAACTCCGCTACTTATTTATCTCATATATATTGCAAGACCTAATTTTAATTTAGCAAAAACATACGGAAAGACAGAAAACAAAAAGATGAATAGAAAGATGAACAGAAAACAAACAAGAACCACAATCCAATCCAGTGTGTGGAATCAATTAAGATAGGTCTCGGGTGTCCACAGAGAGAGTCATGTCAAATGAAAAGAGGGGTGATGACTAATGAATGACAATGTAATGCCTGTAGATGCAGAGACATAGCGAGTGATAATGTTCAATCAAATATGTTCATCTATATAGATACGAATGCTTGAGCAAGGTTTTGGCCACGAGTTCACTGTGAGAGTAAATTGTGGGGCATGTTTGGATGCATTAAAAACATTGTCAACAGTAGTAGGACCAATATTGCAGAACCACATTGGCCCAAACGTAAGTGGTGACCTGACCTTTCAAATTCAGATTTTTAACCTTTTCAAGCTACTACATCTGCATGGGAATCTTCTTGTGCCACAATTTAATTTCTCTGTTATCGTTCTTGGCCAACCAAATTTCTTAGCTTCCTCCATACGTTGGAAAACCCCTTCTCTCTCTCTCTCTCTTTTTTTTTGTTGGCAGAATTGTTTAAGAATATATGTGTGTAAAAATATTTTGGAAGACAATATTGATTAGCTGTGTACCCCGTTTTGTTCTGCGATATATTTTTTTTCTTTTCAGTGAAGGGACTGTCCTGGTGCCAGCCAACTTTGCATGTGATTTGTGTTACTTAGCAGTACAACAAATTTATGTAAAAATTGAATGTAAAATTAATTTTAGCCACAGATAAAGCAACTTCTCAATTGCTTCAGTCAACATTTATTTCAAAATATGTAATGATTTTCGGCCTACTCTGATGTGTTTCGGTCGAGTGCAAATTTAAACAAGCACTTTGTTACTTGTGTAATTAAGGTTCGCCTAATTTGAAGATACTTAACCTAATGTACACCCATTGAAAGTGAAGTGAAAATAATTACTGTAACATGCATGTGTAAACATAGCTGTCTTTTATAAAAACAAATGGGAAATACCTATACATTAAAACATTGACTCTAGCTAGTTGTTATTATAAGGTCCAGTTCTCTTTTAAATTAATTATAAAATTATGTTAGGACTAGGTTAGCTCACAGATCCTCTTCTTAGAGAATTTTTTTTTTGTTAACCCTCCTTCAACTTGCCTTTCTTTGATCAGGCAAGACGTGACTCGCTTTGTGTTTATTTCTGTTTCCGTCTCTGGCAGTCCACTTAAATTGAAAAAAAGTATCAAATTCCAATTACTTCATGTACGTTTTCCTCTAGTCCTTTTTCTGGTTATGTTTTGCCCGGCCTATTTTTCTTTTATTGCAGAACTCATAATTAATAACGCGAGGGGCCGGGGAACATATATAGAAGGTTTGAATGTTAATTAATGTATTTAGTTGTTATTTGCTTTATTTTTTTTTATCAATTAAAATTACAATGACTACATTACAACTCTCCACCACTAAGTTGACCAGGTTTTGATATTTGCTTTATCTAAGTTCAGAAAATGGTATTATTTTCAAAGGCGATCAATTGCATTTATATAGCTATTTGAGATAAAGTATTAGCTATATGATAATTGTATTTATTGCTTACTAAACGTATTGAAGTAATTATTTTCTCTTTTCTAACTTAAAATCTTGGTTTGCTTTTTTTTTCATATATTTTATGTGAGTAGATGGAAGTAATTATCTTTTTTTCTTGTTCAATAGGGTTTTTTTATATTAGTTTTCTGAAGGAAATGTTGAATAGAAGAAGTCTTTTTTGAATTTTCCTGACTTGTCGATCGTTTGCACTCAGCGCAGAGTGGATTTGCTTAATTAGTACAAGAATTTAGGATTGAAGGGTACACCTCCTTGTATTTTTGTTCCAAAGACAAAAAATTATTTGTTCGTTGAGGTTAGCACAATATTAGTGGAGTGAAATTAAAGCGAGATAAAAATAATAAATTATGACACCTTTTTTTTTGCTGTCTACCTTGATCAAACATCGTATTGATGACAATGTTCCAAGTCAATTGGAGCTCTACTATGGCAGATTCATCCATTCTTCATTTCTCTATGGATTTTGGCTCTCTACATTTTTATGAATAATTAAATCCACTATGGAAGTTTTAATGTAAATAAATTGAGTTTCATGTATTTATTTTGAATCATTAATTACTTTATTTTGATGTTTCTCTATTAAGGGTTCTAGCTACTTCTACTCTTAATGCTCATTATATTTTGATCCTTCGTAACTTGAAATTCTGTTGGATGGGTGATTGAAAATGTTTTTTGAATTATAAACCGAAGTTAACATTTATTAAGCCTTGTATCTAGTAATAGTGTTTGGTTTATTTGTCACCTTATGATCCTTAACTTCAAAGCAAGTCCCTTATTAAGTTAGTATTAGCTAGCTAAGAGTATAACCAATGAACTTAGGCTTTCATCAATTAGCTACAGAATTAATGTTTGAGTAATTTTCTGAATTGATAATAATATTTTAAGAATAAAATGAATAGATAGTCTTTATTATGCATATGTGAAGGAAATTAGTTTAGTGGTCCTCTTTGCATTTGTGAAAACAAGTACTATTTTATTGTCCACCAAGTGTTTAATAAAAATCCAAAAAAGAGTTTCAACTTCTGTTTTCTCAATTAAATCTCATGCTTTGATTTATATTTGTAGTTTGTTTTCATTTTGATGATTCTGAATCATTACTCAATCTGATCCCCTAGAGAGTAATTAATGTGCTGCATGTTGAGTATTGTGCAAGCCGTCGTTGAGAATGATACTTTAATTACTACGCATGATTAGGTTAAAATTGTAAAAGATGTATTAAATAGTTATAGATTTTAGTTGCTACTCTAAAAAGATAGAGTTCTTTTTCGTTTTTATAATGTATTAATCGCTACACATATATATATACATAAATTAACATGACCAGTTAATTAACTTTTATATCAATCACCTTAAAAAATTATACCTTAATTGATTAATCGAGTTAAAAATATTACATTCACCGTGTATAAAAATGAAACTACTTCTTATAAGCAAAATATTTCCTTAATGTTAAAAATAAGTTACCGATGACTATGTCTGCAATCATTCTCACAGATTGTGATCGCGTGTAGTTGTATATATCCCTAATAGGCCGCTGTAGAGTTTGACTAAAAAACAATTATGGATGAAAAATGTTTCATGGGAAAACAGCAACACAAATGAAAAAAAAAAAAAACAACGCTCGTACCACATAATTTGTGGTCCTATTTCCGTTTTCTTTTCGGTATATGATGATGAAGGAAGACAATTCAAAAGGTTTATATGCTATTAATAAGTAAATTAAATTGAATGTTCCCTACTTTTCTTCCCCTTTTTGCTTTAATTGTATTAACTAATTGGTTGCGGATATAGAGGATGGCAATCATTTGTCAATATGCGATTATATAAAAAGTATCTATAAGCTAGCAATATACACATAATATGTCACCATTGGCAAGGTTGTGGTGGCCGAAGGTGTTTCATGGAAGATTAGACAATGCAATGCTAAAAAGAAAAAGTTGTATAATACTTTTGTGGTCCTATTTTCTTTATCCTTTATTCTTTTTTTGGGATGACCATAACAGATAAGTTACAAATTATTATAAGAAGTACTCGTGAATTGTCTTAGGTTCATGTAGCATATATTGCTCCAACATATATATAAGATATTTGATACTACGAACCCTAATGATTCTCGTTTATCGTTATGCTGTTCATAATTAGTTTTAGTGATGAAGAACAATTTTTTATTTAATTAGCAAGGAACAAGTTTCCTAATTAGGTGATTGTAGTTAGTACTAAGAGACACATTGATATAAACATATTAGGATAATGACCAAACATT